TCCGTCCGCGTGGATTAAAAAAACAAAAGTGAGTAGCCTATGTGTTCTTCCATACTATCCTCTACATCTATATCAAATTTCATTGAAATCCGTTGAGCTGTTTAGGTTACAAACTGTAACAAACAACCATCCATCCATCTAAAAATTCGCATTTACAATATTATAAGTAAGATATTACTGAGCGATAACGTAGCTTTTTAATGGGGAAAGAATTAAAATCCCAGTAGTTTTTGAGTTATTTCAATACAAAAAAGCTATGTTATCAGTGAGTATATTTTGTAATTTTACGCGGCTAAAGTCGTGAGCAACAGCTAGTATAAAATAAAAAAAATACAATTTTTAAGTAAATATGAAAGTAAGTCGTCTCAGCTGTCTTCCATTACCCATGTTACATATAGTACCTCGATAACTTAGAGTCCAAGGGAAACACAAAATATTTTAAGTTATAGAGCTTTTAAGTCATCAAGGGTCTATGTCATATATATTTTGGGCTTTGATGGGAAGAGAACATATAATTTTTTGAAGTTATAGAGGTTTTTAAGTTATCGAGGTTCTACCGTATTTACCCTTGTATAAGTCGGGCAAAACTCCAGGACGAGGAGTCGTTCGACTTCGTGATCGAGGCGGGCGCGCTGATGCTGGCCGACAACGGCGTCTGCTGCATCGACGAGTTCGACAAGATGGACCCTGGGGACCAGGTCGCCATACACGAGGCCATGGAACAGCAAACCATTTCTATTGCTAAGGTTAGTACAGCATAGTGTCTAAATATATGAATTATATTCAAAAAAGGTATAATCAAAACTTTTGCCCTCGACTCTGTCCGCATAAAAAAATATTAGTAAGTGTTCTAGACTATTCTCTACATAGAGGTCCGGCTACAAATACTGTATCTAATCCATCTACTTTCGAATTTATAATGTTAGTAAGAAATTTAACTTACTAGTATTATAAATTCGAAAGTTTGGACTAGCTTTCGCCCGCGACTCCCTCCGCGTCGAATTAAAAAGAAAAAAAGCACACTTGCATTACAAGTGATATAAAAATGTCAATTTAAAACTTTGCATTTATAATATAGTTTGTAGCTTAAACTGCTGATCAGATCTCTATAATAAAGTTCATAGATGTAGAAAAAAAAGTAATAGAACATGGACTATTTAAAAAAAATAACCCATGCGAATAGTCGCGGGCGAAAGCTAGTTTATAATAGTAAAAGTAATATAATTATTAATTTCAGGCCGGAGTAAGAGCAACTTTAAACGCAAGAACATCAATACTAGCAGCCGCTAACCCTGTAGGGGGTAGATACGATCGTGCTAAATCTTTACAACAAAACGTAGCACTAAGCGCACCTATTATGTCGCGTTTCGATCTATTCTTCATATTAATAGATGAAAGCAGCGAAATGGTAGATTATGCGATCGCAAGGAAAATTGTCGATTTACACTGCAATAAGGAAGAAACTTACGATTGTGTGTATTCAAGAGAAGATCTGTTAAGATATATCGCGTTTGCGAGGTCCTTCAAGCCATTTATCACTGAAGTGAGTATTTTTTTTAATTAGCTGTTAGATTAAAACAAGTTAAGGACCATATGTGTTCTTCCAAACTATAATCTTTGTCAAATTTTATTAATATCCGTTAGCCTTTTTGAAAATACATAATAACAAAAAAATATCTAAACGCATTTATGTTATTACGCAGTGCTCGACGCTACGGAAGTAGGATAAGGTAGGGAGATGATACGATGATGACGTCATCACTCTCTTGATTATGTAACCTTTCATTAGTAATCTATACTATTATAATAAAGCTATTATAATTACAGCATATTTTAGAAAAAATATTTTTTTTAATAAAAAGCCCTACACTTACGCCCCACGCTTTAGGCTATATGTTTTCACGCTGTTAAACTTAGAGGGTAAATATTTTGGATAAAACCCTAATGTGGGAAAGAGACCATAAGTTGCTGCCAACATCAAGGAGGCAAAATTACCTTACTTTGTCATCATGTTATGTCATTTTGACATTTGCAATTGAATTTGACAAATGTAATTAATAAAACAATTTTCTTAATTTCACGCGAATGAAGTCGCAGGGGAACCGCTAGTATGTAATAAAAAAATAAAATTCTAGGAAGCGGGAAAACTTCTAGTAGAGTACTATACAGTGTTGCGAGGGCGGGACGCAGGCGGCGCGGGCGCGGGGGCGGGGGCGGGGGCGTGGCGCATCACAGTGCGACAGTTGGAGTCGCTGGTGAGGCTGGCGGAGGCGGTCGCCAAGCTGCACTGCAGCGGAGCTGTCACTGAACACCATGTACATGAAGCTTACAGGTATTGTAACTGATTGCTTGATATTATACTAAATTTCACCCGAGACTCCGTTCGTGGATTTAGAAAATAACAAAAGCGAGTAGCCTAGGCGTTCTTCCAGACTATCCTCTACATCTATGGCAAATTTCATCGAAAACCGTTCAGCCGTTTAGGCTACAAAATCTAACATACATCCATCCATCTAAACTTTTGCTTTTATAATATTAGTATGACTAGTATAATTGGTATGATTTATTTAAACTAGTATTCACAACCATTATTCATACAATTACATAAGAAAATAGAAAAAAGTATACACTAAACCGATAATATAAAAAGAATATTAAGAAAACTATATATCATATGAAAAGTATAAGAGCCTTTAGTTTTTTTTTAAACTGTTTATGCCAAATTTTTGCTTGTTGAATTAGCTTTAATTTATGCATAGTTTAAAAATAATAAAACCATAATGAAGCATATTTGATATCAACTTCAACATTTTGGAACAGTCCTTATTTCAAAACAATTCTGAAACTTGCAAATGGAACAAGTAAATACAATAATAGTAAAAGTTTAAATTCATTTATTAATTAACATTTAAAAATGTTTTAGGTTACTAAACAAATCGATAATCCGAGTAGAACAACCTGACATACATTTGGATGAAGATGACCCTCAGTCTGAACCTATGATGGAGGTTGACCAAGATCCGTCTACTGCTACCACTGGTTTGTAAACTCTGATATTTAAAAAAAAAGTATGTTATAGCATCTAGCAAATTAGCAGACTTTTTATTTCCTAAAGATAAAATGCAGTACATTAATTTATAACTTTAACTTACAACTTATAAACTTAATAATGTAACTTTTATTGTTTTTAATAAGTATTAAAAAGACTTTAGTTAAGATATGTTTCTCTAAATTGTGTTTTCTTAACAGTGAACGGAGACTCATCTGGAAAGAAGAAACTAACCCTATCATTTGAAGAGTACAAATCTCTGAGTCATATGCTTGTTGTGTTTATGAGAAAAGAGGAGAGTGAAGCTGAATCTAGAGGTAATCTATTTTTTTTAATATCAGTCTCACTTAATAATTACTGGGTGTGTAGTGGTAGTGCCCGCTTTAACATCTTAGCACGAATGGGCCGGCACGTAATATCACGACCACACAGAAGACAGGCGTGAAATGGAAACAATTCCGTGTTTCGTCTGATGAGTGTGGTGCCGGAGGCCTAATTTAAGTCCCTTTTTCTTTACCACCCTTCTCTTACAAGGAGAGGTTGGGAAGGGGAAGTGGATTTGACGGTGGAGGAGATGCACAGGAAGGGGCAATATCCTCTTTATGTGCGTCTCCTCCTCCGTCGTATAAGGGTAGGCAACGGATCTGCAATTGCGGATGTCTATTTCTCTCGTTTCTCGTTTGACAATTTATGTTATAAAAAAAAAAACAGTAGTAATACAGAATAATTACTTTGTTCTACGCAACAAGACAAAACTCCGCTCTTACTTAACATTGGAATAAGAAATTGGAATAATAAAGCAATTATCTCTAATTCTTACATAAGTTTATTCTATTGGTTATTGCGTCGACTTAATGTGTACCACATTTCTTAAAGCGCCATTTACTGAAGTATGTTCGTACAATAGAAACTCAAGGTACACAGTCATTTTCCCTGATTGTACTATGTCCTTCCAGGAGAGGAGAGCGCAGGTATGCGCAAAAGTGCAGTTGTGAACTGGTATTTAGAGCAACTAGTGACACAAGGACAAATAGAAAACGAAGACGAATTGGTAGAACGGAAAGTTCTGGTTGAAAAAGTTATTGAAAGGCTCATGTATCATGTAAGTCAACTCCCATTCCGAGCTCATATGAGTAAACTTTTTAAAGTATATTATTTTACTTGTGTATGAATTTTTATTAAATATTTTTTTTAATAGGATCAAGTTATAATACCCCTAACTACAACTGGGCTAAAAGCGACACAGAAATCATCAGAACAGGAGATAGAAGACGATCCATTATTAGTTGTTCACCCGAACTTCGTGGTTGACTCATAATTGATTTTTAATTTTTTTAATAATTAAGCTGGTCTTTTTATAATAATGAATAATGTTTTTTACTTTTGTGTTTTATTGCTATTAGTAAATCCTTTACAAAATAAAAATTCCTTTCTTTAGATAAAGATTATAAAAATATATTTCACATTACATAATCTTTGACCATTTTTATAAGAGCACACTCTTTGGTTTTTGATAATTTAAATTGTAGATGTCACTGTCACATTACCAAAACAAATCGAAACTGTATTTTCGAAAAAGAAATAATAAATTCTGACTTAAAAAGTGATTTTTAAAACATGCCAACTGATCGTTAATTTTCAAAGTAATAAGTAAAGCTTTAGTTAAAAGATTAACATGGCACATAGAGAAAAGAAACGAGTATTGGAGAAACGAGCCCGTGAATTCGTAGTATTTTTGCGGGACTATTTTGAACGTGAGCAGCAAAACGGAGGGCCCCTGTTGCCCCTCACCCGTGTCGTCGAGCGAGTTTCTGATGCATTAAAGATCGGTACAAATACGGTATGTCGAATAACCAGAGAAAAATACGGTAAAAGCGGAATGGAAGATAACGAGCTTAAGACTCCAAGTTATACACCACAGTAAGTTCAATTTAATAGATCTTTAGTCTTTCTAAGTTCATATCCTTGGTTTGAATCTGTATAATGTACAAAAATTGTACATTTACATTCAATATTAGCAAAAGCTAGTTCTGTGTATTAACCAATGTTGAAGTTCATACATAACAAACATTGTTATTTAATTCTTCCTGTTATGGATATAAGATAAACACAATATTATGTTATACAACCTTTGCCCGCGACTCCGTCTGCATGGAGATAAATCATAATCAAGTAGTCTATGTGTTCTTCCACTCTATCCTCTACGTCTACGCCAAATTTAATCAAGATCTGTTCTGACGTTTAGGCTTCAAACTCTAACAAACATCCATCCATCTAAACTTTCGCATTTATAATATTAGTAAGATTAATAATATCATGGAATTAATTACTTTATCTAAAATATGAATTTCATCTATAATATTAATTTTGATTGAAATGAAAAAAACTAACGTATTCATTTTACAGTACAAGAAGAAAAAGAAAAACTGACGAATCATCAAAATCAACCAATAATGGGAAAAAGGTACCCAAAGAATGCAATCTTAGAGTTAACGGTGTTAGCACAAATAAGAGTAAAACTAAAGTATACACAACTGAGTCAAAAATCAGAGTAAATCTTAAAACAGTTCCAAATATAACAAGGTAATATTATTTTTAGGATTATAACAATAAAATAGCAACAATAGAGTCATGGTTAAGAATACAGAATTCCGATTATGTGGTCGAGTTCAAACTCATTAAATTATTATAAACAATATAGCAGCACAAGCCTAGATCTTAGTTAGATTTTTTATATCACAAGATGGTGAATGAGTTAGCAGCCACTTGAATTGGGTGAAATAGGAAAATTACCTATGCCCATATACATCCACAAAATTGGAGTAGTATATTTCCTGTTTCTGCGTCTACCTCTATACAATGTCCTTTTCCTTCCCATTTTTTATGTTATCTATGTTAGAGGTGGCTTTTAAAAGTATTATTAGTAAATTAACATAAATCTGCCAATATTAAAAAATCATTAAAACAAATAATAGAATTTTTGTTTACAGTTCAAGAGGGAAATTGCAAAAAACTTGTATTACGAAAGCAGCACCTAAATTGACCCCGAAAACAGATCTGAGCTTTCAGTTGCCAAAAATCTGCAATCCTATGGTCAGTGGGTTCGAAAGAACTGCAAACAAATCCATATCAAGTGTCAAAACAGAGGACCCTAAAAGTCCATTTGGTAAGACAAGGTAATCTTACATCATACTAATATTATAAATGTGAAAGTTTAGACGGATTGATGCTTGTCAGAGTTTGTGGTCTAAACGGCTAAACATATTCTGATAAAATTAGGTATAGATGCAGATAGTCTGGAAGAACACATAGGCTACATACTTTTTTTTTAAATTCCACACGGTGGACTGGCGGGCGAAAGCGAGTCTATACTATTATAATAAATAGTAAACACACACTTCTTTGTTGCCTAAGATGTCAGCAATTACAGCATATTTTTGAATATTTTTTTTTAATAAAAAGCCCTACATTTGCGTCATGCTTTAGATTATAAATTTTAACGCCATTAAACTTAGGGGGTGAATATTTTGGAAAAAAACCCTAAAAGGGTGAAAGAGACCATAAGTTGCTGCCAATGTCAAAGAAGCAAGGTTGTCACCATGTCATGTCATTTTGACATTTGTAATTTTTTTAATTTGAAAAATGTAAACCGTCAAAAGTAAAATGATTTCGGGCGGATGAAGCCGGATGGGAATAGCTAGTACTAAATAAAGAGAAAAGATTTGTATTTTTGTATGTATTGAAATAACTGAAATAAATGTATTTTTTCAGTTCAAAAAGAAAATGTCAGAACACAAGTCTGTCATCAAAATCACCTTTAGATCCAATACATATTGAAATACCATTTTTGAGTCCAGTCATACATGGTCTGGAAAGTATAACAGCATCAACAATTAACCCTTATCATAAAAAGGAACATTTGATTGGTGAAACAAGGTAATTATTAAAATAAACTTTGGTTAAGCGCTGGCGCTCTCTCGTTTTGGAGGCCAAGGCCTACTTTGGGTTGCTGCGCCAACATAGTAAGTATTTGGTTAAGAAATATAATGTATATTATTTTTAGATACCAGAAATATATTAAACTTAGTTTGCACATTAGAGATTATTATTAAAAAAACTTGAATTGCTTTCATACGAGAGTTTTAATTTCTTGGTTAAGCTGTAATAATTCAATGCTAAAATTAAGTAAAGTACAGTAGAACCTCGATAAGGTAAAGTCCAAGGGAAACACATAATATATTAAGTTATAGAGGTTTTAAGTTATCAAGGGTCTATGTTATAGAGGTTTTGGGCTCTGATGGGAAGGGAACATATTTTTTGAACTTAATAGAGGTTTTTATGTTACCAAGGTTTGAGTTATCAAGGTTCTACTGTACAACTAAATTCCAAATAAAGAAACTATGTCAATAAATTATTTATGTGAATTTTTTTTAATGTAATCTTAGTAATATTAAAAACGCGAAAGTTTAAACGCATAGATGATTGTTAGAGTTTGTAGACTAAACAGCTTAACAAATCTCAATCAAATATAGTATAAATGTAGAGGATAGTTTCCAGACTATATATGGGGTACTTACTTTTGGTTTGTTTTAATTCCTCGCGGAAAGAGTCTCTGGCAAGAGCTGGTTTGGAATAAAGTGAAGTGATATTTGTATAAAAAATTGAAAACGTTTTTGTAGGAAATAATCTTAGTACATACTGTACTGTTCTTACAGTACAGTATGTACAAATGTATGTATGTATGTACAGTACAAAAAGAAAATGTCGAACAATGTCTTCGAAATCACTTTTAGACCCAATATATGATATGCCTAATATCTTCAGTCCGACATTAAGTGATTTTGGCAGCACCACAGATTCTACTACAACAGGCATCAAATCAGGAAATAATAATACTCCAATACATACAAGGTATATATATAAATATTCAACAATTTACTTAATTTGGTATAAAAAGGCTCTTATATTAATTTGGTGAAAAACTTTTAAATTTCTCATGTGCCTTTTGTCATATTTTTAAATGTTCATAAATAAATCTAAACTAACTAAAGATTAAATATGAGGTAATACCAATTATCATTGTTTTTATCTTAATTTTAAACAGATTTCTAAACAGATTGGATGATCTCTTCCTTAACCAGCTTTTGTAAAATCAGACGCATCTTTGTCTTTAAAAAGATTTTTTCAAATTGAACAAATTCAAGTAATCTGATATTTTATTGATTTTTTTTGTTGCTAGCACAAAAACGAATCCCGCAAAAGACTATTCGATGAAATTGGAATTCAAAGAGGATTTGGATGATAATATAATTCTTGTTGTTCATCCTACAATTGATGTAAGTGTTTTTTTTTTAATTTTTGCTTATTTGTATTGTTTTTGAAGAATATTTCTATAATAGCTATTTAGTTTGTAATATATTTTTTATGTTCTAGGACCATCTTCCTATGAACACTTGGCAGACTAATAAAACTTTGTATTAAACCTTGCCATAAAAGGCACAGAATTTTTGTGTTGGCAACATTAATTACATATATGCAATTAATGTTGCCATACTTATATAAAGGTGTAGTTTTTGAATTGGTGAAAATTTTGTCTGTAAAAATAAAAAGTATTAGTAGGTTAGTATATTTCGAAATGTATATATTACGAATAAATCTAAAATACTGCATTTAATTTTTAATGCCATTTATGAGTGTTGCAATATTAAAGATTAAGCCTCACGTGAGCCTGATTTTCTATTTTCCCGTTCAGACTATAATTTTATTAAATGTAACTGAAAAAAAATGTTTTTTTCAATGTAAATGTTTTTGTAATATCTCAGAGATTTTTAATAAACAACTGGTTTCGTTTTTTTTATATTTTTTTTAGTATTAAATCAATACCGATGATTTTCAGTATTTTTATAACAAAATGAAATAAAACACAGATTAAAAATAACACATATATTCAACATCGTTCAAATACTTTGTAGAGATCGCTCAAGTTTGCTATTTGTAAAACCACACCGTTTGTGACAAATCTGTTAGGTGGTAGGAAATTTCTTCTTATCGCGGGAAATATGACGTGTTCCTGTTTCCATTGTTGTGATTTTTGAGCCTCGGTCGCGGTGTCAGGGTTCGGTTGGGAATAGAATATCGCCGTTTGACGACAAAATGTATCGAAACATTCCTTCTCTGAATCCCAATTAACTTCGGTAACTAAACGTACTAGGTACGTTGGTAACGCGCCCATGAAAGGTGTATGACCATCTTTGAAAGAGATATACACGATTTTTTAGTTTGCTAAACACACTTGTACAGACACGTAAAGTTATTGATATTTTTTAAAAAATAAATTTTCAGTAACTACCAAAAAATAAATATTCAAACATTGTCCGTGTAACTCAGACGGGTAGGCAGAGACCACATCTTTTTTTTATAACATAAGGTGGCAAATGAGCAAGCGGCCACCTGAATCCGCCAAAATGGCGAAGCGACCGCTGCCCATAGACATCCGTAATTGCAGATGCGTTGCCTACCCTTATCCGACGGAGGAGGAGACACACATAAAGAGTATATTTCCCCTTCCTATGCATCTCCTCCACCGTCAAATCTACTTCCCCTTCCCATCCTCTCTTTATAAGAAAATGGTGGTAAAGAGAAAGGGACTTAAATTAGGGTCATCCCTCTATATTCTTTGGAAACTACTATAAAATGTTTAGAATTATTCCATCTTATGTTATAAATAGACCCTTTTGCGGCAATTTGATTCATTAATTTTTTATTTGTAATTATGTATTTAGTTTAAAACTGTTTGGTGAACACAATAAAATAAATAAAACTGAAATGTTCAAAAATACTTGAATTAAGAAAAATCTTAAATATAAAAAATTACATTACTTACCAAGTAACAAAGGCAACGCTAAGAGTTCACCATCCGCACTAATTTCCAGTGAGAAATATTCAAACAGCATTTCTTTCTTGGTGACAAGAAGTACTGTCATTTCTTTTGCCATCACACTCATCTCTCCTAAAAAATAATAACAAAAAAAAATTTTTTTACACAGAAGCATTTTTTTAAAAACTCCAAACCAGCTACAAGTCTAGAAGAAAAATGAGATATTTTTTTTTAATTAAATGAAATAAATCACGAATTACATGAAAAAGAACGGAAAAACGTATGTAGAAGAAAAAAGACAGATGTATAAATAATTTTTTGTTGATTTTACCATACTGGGAGTTCCATTCTGCTTCCTGCGTCTTTAGACCCAACATCATCAGATCTTCAAGTGGCAACGGATTCGATAGTTTTATTAAACCCAAGTTTTGAAAATCGTACAGCAACGTCTCATAGAAAAGTTCCTCCCTACAACACAGGTCAGTATATCCTTCTCTTTCACTCTTATTCATTAGTTATACGTCTATCTTTGTTATGTAACGAAATTTTCATTAAAGCGCTATTAAAACCATACTAAAATAAAAACGCGGTTTTTAATATTAGCAGGTTTTTGTTAATTTGCTAATATTTACCCATTCCAACTAAGGTCTAAGCTTGTGCTAGGATTTGGCTTACAATAGTCGAATACCGGGATTTGAACTCTCGACCGCAAGATCGGTAGTCAAACCATTAGGCAATTGGCGTTTTAGGTTTAGTGTAAGACTTCTAAAGAATAATTTTACCGACGAAAATTTATGAATTACTAACTTTTGCCTACGACTCCATCCGCGTGGAATTAAAAAAACCCACAAAAGTATATGTGTTTATCGAGACTATCCTCTACATTTATGAAAATTTTCATCGAACTCCATTCAGCCGTTTTGGCTACAAACTCTAACAAACATCCATCCATCTAAACTTTGTTATTTATAATATTAGTATGAAGTATGTTAAAAATTCTCACTTACGTTAATTTAGTCGTGTTACATAAATACAGTTTAGTAGAATGCTGTATTAGAGATTGATGACAATCAATGCAGGCGATAAATATTAGATTCGCTAATATTTCTCTCAAATTCATATTACAACTACCCTCCACATCCATACGGAGTTGCTTAACGCTAGTCAGTTTTGTTTCTACCCTCTCATATTTAAATGTTCTTGTTTTAAACGATTCCTTTGGATCTATATAAGTTATATTTCCTTGGTCTACACCTGTGTGTAAATTCCACTTTTCCTTGCTTTTTATTTCTTTCGGTTCCTCTATCAGAGAATTTTCTAGAACATCTGTATTTTCATCATTAATTTGTATGACTGGTTTATTTTTAATTTCTTCATCTTTCTCTGTATTTATTGTTTCGTTTTCATTACGTTTTGCGATTTGAAAGAATTTATCTATTTTCTGTGTATCAGAGCTGACTCTGACCAAATCTTTCGCATAAATTTTAGCACCGTCGGTTGTTTTTTTAATAATTTCATCAACCATTGTTGCTCCAGGCAGACGAGCCTGTGTAAAATGCAAATTTTATTTACCACTTGACTACATACTAACGCATTTTCTAAACCCTGCTATTGCAATTACTATACAGGTGATTCTCAACTTAAAAATAATTAATTATAGCTTCTCAGTTACAGAAAAAAATGTTATTTGAAGAAAATTTCGAAATTATTAGGCTTGTTAAAGAAAAACCATTACCACTATACACAAATAAATTTGGCAGATTATAATCGAAATTCCGATTTTTTACAAACAATTAAATAGTTTTAAAACTACAGAGAACCGGGCAAAATTCTTTGCGCTTAAACGATAACTCTAACTCCACAAAGCCGTTGATCCTTTCATTAAGAATCATCCTGTAGAAATCTGGGAGCACTAAAGAAATAACAATAGTTGCCAGTGAAAAATGGTCCATTTTTAGCAAATAACAGTTCCGTTCAATGTCACAGCCAGTTCTACTATTTGATAAAGGGTCTTTTAACCACAATTTGATTCAGTAAAATAATAAAAAAGAATGATCTTAAAGAATACTGGCATAAAATAGAATTCGCCTGAAATAGTGTTTGTAAAAAATAAAAATATTTACCTGCGTGTACATAACTCTGGATGAATTACAACTGAGTAGTTTAGCTTCAATACAAGATTTGATCCTGTCAATTATCTGCTCTTCATATAAAAATTGTACTTCATGTTTTGTTGGATGAACATTCACATCCACATTCCTGGGATCTAAGGATTAAAAAAAAAGTGTATTTTAGGTTTTCCTAAGTGGGGGGGGTGTTTTAGTAATTCTGATAGGGTTTTATTTTAATTATGTTTATATTACCTAGTACAATACTAAGGTAGACATAAGAATGTGAATTCTTTGGCAAATACGTTGAATAAACTGAATCCACCGCCTTTCGTATACCTGAAAATATTAATTACTTATAATAACAAACATTTATAAAACACATTTAAAATTTACTAATAAAACAAAAAGCTTTACGATAATGCAAAGACCAATATCATACTAATATTATAAATGCAAAAGTTTAGATGGATGGATGGATGTCAGAGTTTGTAGCCTATACTGCTGAATAGATCTCGATGAAATTTGTCATAGATGTTATAGTCTGGAAGAACACATAGGCTACTCAGTTTTTTTAATTCCACGCAGACAGAGTCGCGAGTCAAAGCTAGTCTCGTTATGATTTAAAAAAAAACTTACTCTGCGAGTCCACTAAACGATGGTTTATAAATAATAGCATAGTCCCTCTTTTATGTGAGTAATTGACATTAGTAATAAATCCTTGCATAGACATTTTCAAAGTTTCATCCTTTAATTCAATCTCTAATAACTCACGGGCTATGCTGTTGCCATGAATCTTAAAAAATATAACATCCATTAAAATATATCATACTTCATACTAAGATAATACGAAAGTTAACTCTTCAATGCATGACTTTTTCTTTTTATATACCCTAAATTGATAAGGTAGTAATTTGAACATAGAACATAATTTTTTTAAACAGTCTATTGATGTATAAATACATCATCATGCATTTAAGGGTTAAGATGGATGGATGAATGTTTGTTACAGTTTGTAGCCTAAACGGCTGAACGCATTTCGATGAAATTTGGTATATATGTAGAGTCTGGAAGAACACATAGACTACTAAGATTCGTTATTTTTTAAATTCCACGCGAAAAGAGCCGCGGGCGAAAGCTAGTTAAAACTATTTCTAAAAACTTTCAGTCAATGTTGAAGATATCCCTTAAATAGAGTAGATTTCATATACAATAATCTTAGTATATCAAATAAATTTAATGAAAAAAACTAAATCACTAACAATTTCCATTTTTGACCGACTTCCCAAAAGAAGGAGGTACTCAATTGTCTGTATGTTTTTTTAGTAATCTAAAGGAGCATTAACATGTTAGTGGCCATTTTACAATTTTAAGTTTTATTAAAAAAATATAATACTTACAATTCTAATATTTTCAACCACAGTTGATTTAATAGCAGTTTTAATATCTGTATTCTCACCGAATTTCTTCAGAGTGAAGCCTACATGGCTATTATGTATGGCATACCCGCCTACAACCTCCATTATATGAGAATACTCTTCAGTAGGACTTCGGAGGGACTTTTTACGAGCTATCACATTATAAAAGAGGTCTTCGACAGTTATTTGTGTACCGTTGTTACCAGCGCAGGCTTTTATCGGTCCTTTTAGTTTACCATTTTCATATGAAGCTCTAAAAAATAAATTACAGAACTTCCATCATGTTAATAAAATTTTAATTAAAACTATGTAAAATGTATCTCGGACTCGAAGGACCAATATTCAAGACAATTAAATTGTGTTGGCAATGAATTTCAAAAATGGTAATTTAATTTCTATGTGATTCTTTAAATTATGGTAGACAATCAAGGCTAATAACTATGCCAAGCAAACATTCAGAGCCTGAACCACCACTGGCTAATAGACTTGGATAGCTTAATAATGATGTCACTGTCAGATAAAGAAACAAAATCCGATATTTCCATCACATATTTTACATGTTCAATAATTATCAGACAATTTACAACTTAAGGCCCTATGGATTATAAAAATCTTCCCCCTAAGTGATACGATCAGAGAAATGAAGAATGAATTTGAAGTCACAATTTAAATAAGGTAATAACATACTTGAGTTAACAATACCAGTTTCATATGGTAAAATATACAGAGATGTTAATTAGTTAATAGCACTGACACAAACAAGTACTAACCCTTAATGTGTTTTATCACAAAACATGCACTAAAACATATTTTAAACATGTTATCTATGTTTTTTTAAAAGTGAGAAAAAAGGGGGATCATGTTATGTACAAGAGTCTTATATATTACATATGAGAATTCACAATATTATTATTATTTACATCTAAATATCATACTTATAGGCACATTTATCATTTGCTGTCTTGGTAAGTATAGTGAGATGTGAGATATAGCTGATACTAGCCAGGGCTTCACCTCGGAAGCCGTAAGTACTGATCTCCTGTAAGTCCTCATATTGCTGCAGTTTGGATGTAGTGAATCTCTCACAGACAATGTCCAAGTTGTCATGTCTGATGCCAGTGCCATTGTCTTGGATCTGAAATAGAAAATTAAAATATTTGATATAACAGAGAGAAAAATATACATTTAAGATCAAATTTCATTTGATATTTACCTGCAAATACTTTAAACCACCAGCTTTAACAGTTATTATTATATTTGTGGCATGTGCATCTAAACTGTAAATAAAGAATAAAACAAATCAATACAACTAAATTTAATTTAAAACACAATTGAGTTATAAATTCTCACAATAAACGATTTTAAGTCGAAATTAGGATAAAAAACAGTCTATTGCAGAGACACGTCTTTTTAATTAAGGTAAAACTTAAACACTTAAATTAAACTTTAAAAAAAAACAAACAAAAAGTTGAAAATATGATCTAAAGTTTGTATAACTTGCCTGTTTTCAATTAATTCTTTTAGAGCATTTGACGGTCTTTGTACAATCTCGCCAGCTGCTATACGATTCACAACATCTTCGTCTAATTTTCTAATAATTCCTGGTTCTACCATTATCCTTTAGTTCTATTTTTTATTCCAAGTTCTGCAAATGAATAAATTCGAGTTCGACACAGGTTTGACGTTTCGCGCATTTTTCTGGGTCAAAGAATAATAAACCATAACACCATAATCACAATTGCTTGCGAAGACACGTACTCTTTGGCAGTTCGGTTAATTTTGATTCTGACAGATCTTGATAACTTCTTTAAATTGTCATTGTCAGTTGCTTAAGTGTTGTTTTACACTTTGAATTTCGTCGCAAACCGTGTGTTTTAATTTTATTATTATACATGTGGGTTAAACGGAGCAAAAAAGGATATAGTATATACTGAGGTGTTTGTGCTTCTGGTGGTCTTAGTTATAAGTAATAACAATGAGTTTTAAAGACTTTAATTTTGACCACAATGATTTTGATGTTGAAGTATCAGATTTACAAGAGCTTAGTTCGGTCTTGGACTCAATCAGCCCCTCAAATACTGCTTCAACATCTCAAATTGCGTATCCAGCGAGCAATGCCTACTCTGCTGAACCAGATTATTCAAAAATTGACGAAGCATTATCTCTGAATAGGTTAGCCGACGAAAAGTTACGTAGATTGGAAAAAATCCTTACGTTACGATTAAATGAATGCAATTATAAACTAAAAAGCATTGAATCTAAATACAAGAGAAATAAATATTTTGATAAAAATGAATCATTCAAATATGTAGCCTGTGGAAAACCATATTTTAAAGATAAATCAAATTTCACTCCCCCTCATAATAAAGACACAATTACTATGTTGAATAATGGAATGTACAATTTCTCAACAATAACTACAGTTCCTGGCTGGACAGTAAGAGATAAAAGTCACTTTCTTGACATGGTTCATAAAGTCTCACTGGACATCCTTAAGAAAAGAGTTGAAACAAAGATAACTGAGTTAAATCGTGAAAAGAAATTAAATCCTGACATTAAAATTAATAAAAAGCTAGATGTATTAAAACATGAAATTGTTCTTGTTAGCAAGATGACATTGAAGGAATCTGCATTACCATTAAATGAAGACTATGATTGGGATTTCATAGCTAATAAACTAAATGATCGCCATTCTTCACAAGAATATGAAGCTCTGTGGAAATTATTTTTACATCCTGATATTAATAAAAACACTTGGTCCAAAAATGAGCATACATCATTACAAAAAATAGCCTTTAGTAATAACTTTCAGAATTGGGAAGACATAGCGACTAGACTGGGGACAAAACGAACTGGCTATCAGTGTTTCGTCTATTTCCGAACAAATATGAACAACACATTCACTGGTCAAAAATGGACGAAAGAAGAAGAGGAATACTTGAAAAGATTAATTGATTATTATAGAGAAGATAAATACATTCCTTGGGGTAAAGTGGCAACATCGATGGAAAATAGAACTAAAATACAGGTATACAATAAATATAATAGACTCATTGAACAACGAAAAGGAAGATTTTTACCTGAAGAGGACACTGTAATTCTCACATGTGCAGACCAATTTGGACTTGATTTTAAGAGAATGACAAATTACTTACCTGGACGTTCATTAGGACAAATACGTATACGGTATCAAATATTAGCAAAGAGAAGAGTTTCAACTGTGTGGACAGTAGAGGAAGATAATAAACTAGTTCAATTACTAGCAAACAAAGAAACGCCTACCATATATTCAGATCTCACTAAATATTTCCCTGGTAAAGATAGAATGAATATAAGAAGTAGGCATATGACACTTGTAAAATGGATGAAACACAATCCAAATTGTGATGTTTCAAGCGCACCAAGGCGAGCAGCACGTCGATTGGGTCACGGACAACCATCTGATACCAATTTACACAAGGCAATTGAAAACTTAAAGAACCGAATTAAGACAGAAGTGGAAGAACGCAAATGCAAAAAAATTACAGTAAACTCACCGGAAAACGTTATTGAAGATGGTATTATGGCAATATTAGTTACACAAATCACAAAAGATGAAGAAGCTAAGAGATTGCAAGAATCACAAAATGAAGTATTGGAATTCTTAGAAGACGTTAACATCTCACCGAAGTGTTTAAATTCAACAAATATGAAAAAGCTACTTATATTATTTAAATCTAAGTTGAATAAAAAAAAACTAGAAGCTAGTAAGTATAGTAAGAGATTTCCTGATTTAATTGAAGGTAAGCAAGAAGTATGTCTAGTAAGAAAGAAATCTTATTCGAAAAAAGATCGTGAAAAAATGGTTGTAAAGAAAATTCCAGATATATTTGGAACAAATACATTAGACAATTTAGAATATGTTCTGCCACCCCATTATGCTACTATTATAGGCTGCAGACAATTAATGTTATGGGTATCGGAAAATAAAAATAACAAAGTGTGCGATATTAATCTGAATGTTTTAATGAGAAAAAATGTTCTATTAAAAAACCATTTCTTTCACTTACTGGAAAGATTTAATTCACTGTTTGTGTGGCCTATGTTACTTTCTAATGAATCCCCGCATTTGAATAGTGTTAATGAGAACACTTTTAGTATAAGCAAACCTTTGCTTAGTACCGGTGGCTCTACAGTAAAAAATGATATTCTTAACCCTAGTGAAGATCAGGTGATAAGTAATCATACTAAAGTGGAAGAATCAAATAATTCTGAAGATGAATGAAGGTTGTCATATTTTAACTGTACTGAATCTATTTGATAGTGTTGAGGGCTCCTGTGCTATCAACAATATCAAGTAGATGAAATGTAATTACAAATACTGCTATGAGAAGATTAAGAATAAAAAAGGTTGTGAAAAATTTAAGCCAACTTCATGTCCACCATTTTAAATTCCTGTTCTATTTAAAAATACAAAATGTAGCGGCCTGGCTAAATGTAATAACAAATGTTTTTAAGAACATCTTGAATTTATTGTATTATATTTTTGTTTGTTAGGTAGAAAATGTATGAATTTCCTAAGAATTGTACAATGAAGGGTTACACACATTTTCATTAATATATGCATGTATATGAATGGTTTACAATGGACTTATGGATAAAACATCATTTATCAAAAATCTATTAATCACAACTAATCAAGTTTGCCATATGAAAATCTGCTTGTGTTAAAATACGTATATGGTTATAACACAAATATTTCGATGGCTTCCTAGCTTTAAATATATTTAACTTGAGGCTGAGAACACTTTATGTAAATGATGTGAGTTCGATTTTAAATTAATGTCTAAATGCAGTGGAAACTTGTATCTTTTATTGAAATAATGGTTTTTGTTATATATTCTTTTTAAGCCATAAAATGTACATTAAATATAAGTAGCTAGTTCCTAGTAAGCAAGTTTTTTAATAAATTATCAGTAATAAATATTTGTGATTTTTTGTGCCGCTTTGGTAAAAATCATCATAGTGTAAAAACTGCATGTCTTACTAACTACAACTACTGTGATAAACTATGTTAGTACATCACAAATATGTGTTTGTATTATTTATAATCGCATAATGATAAATAAATTGTGATATTAGATGTATTTAATTGTTTAATTATACTTCAGTATAATTAAGTGTGAGTGTCCACTGCCAAAAAATGCATTGTCACCCCTCTAATTCTGTATGATAAACAGAGATAGCATATATTTATTTTTAAATAAGTGGGTAGATTAAAATTTGCTAAAACATTGCAATTTCATAAAGAACTTGTTTGCAATGTATTAACCTTTCATCTTTTAATTGTTTGTTTAAGAATTTAAGATTTAAATTCCTGATCAAGCAATTTGACTGACTGAAAAATGGGTAGGGTTGTTCTCCAATCGCTGTGAGTATTTTGATGTTTTAGATTATAGTAAAAATTTTTATTTTTGTCATTTAAGCTTACGTCACATATGTTGATTACAACTTCTTTACTCTTACTAAGTTATTTTGCCTTTATTTACATGTACTGGAAATCATTTTTCAGGTTTAAAAATCGCAAGGTTGAGAAGACGGTCTTAGTTATCTGTGCAGTCTTGCTTATGCGTACTCTAGGCTCTATGGTTATTTCGCCATCTTTTTCGTCGTGACGTGTTTTCACAAAATTCTCATATACTCTTTGGTTTAAGCATTGATGTTCGCTTGTATTTTTCTAATAAACGTTTATATACTCTTTGAAAAATAAGTTTGAGCGGTAAAATGATTATAGAAAGTGTTTTTGATGCGGAACGATAATATTATATTACAAAATGATGGATTTAAAAGCATGTGCAATTTGTTTGACTACGGACTCGGACTCCATTGACGTTAAATTTTACGATTTGGATGTCGGACTAAGAGTCGAATACAACATAATATCAGGATTACGAGTAACTGATTTGTTTCCACTTTGAAGTTTATGTATATAAAGTGTTTTGTCTGTTTACTAAAGTTTTTTTTAATGGTTGTAGACAAATAAAGGGGATGGCTTTCCCGGATACCTTTGTTACGAGTGTTTCGCCTACGTAAAACGTTTCATAAAGTTTAGAAATAAATGCCAGAGAACCCATTATGCTCTCAAGCAACTTCTTGACAACAGAAAACAGGTAAGTAAACTTAATTTTTGGACAACAAATAGTTCTGTAATACCCAAATGTATGAAAAAATGTATAATTTGTCTGCAAAAGGTTCCCTGTCTTTCTATATTGGCCTCTTTAATAGACAGGAAATAGTTCAAAGGGCATTAGTTCAAAATTTAAAATCTCAAATTTTCTATTACAGGTAACAAAAGCCGCGATTCAGGTGATTGATCGTAAATTATTGAATGTAGGGCCGTCCCTATCTTACTTAGAAAGCAACAGAACACACTATGAGCAAGTAAAGTTTAAGTGGGTAAAGCACAATCGTTTTAGTGATGTGAAAGGTGATGTACCAATTGTTCACCACAGTACTACAGATACTGTCAAATTTGAAATACCAAAAAACATCCTTATTAAAACTGAAATAGAGGAAACAAATACGGAAGAAGATATACCTATAGCAGAGAATATTGAGGATTTAAATGATTTTGAGAGAGTACCGCAGGAAGTGGAAGAGTCCCACGATGAGAATGCATACAAAGAATTTTTTGCTACAAACCCAGATAGTGATAATGATTATGTTGAAGAGGCTAAAGATAATTGTGAAATAAAAGATGAGATAGATGTAGATGGTTGTAATTTAGACGAAGAGTATGCTAGTGTAGTACCAATTAATATGAATGAAGCGAAGGCCGTTGTGGAAGTATACAAAATGTTCAGTTCAGGGAAATATTCATGTAATGTATGTACAAAGTCATTCTATAATGAAAATCGATTGATGATACATATGAGAATGCATGATAAGGTTTGTATTCTTTTAGTAATTAATTACACTGTATTTTAGTTAAATTAACAAGATACTGGACTATACAGTATGGTTCAAATACTGATATGACATAATTTGTGGTCAATAGTTTACTGGTCTATAATAAAAGTATAAATATTTTTTCAGCATATAAGTGGTTTGTATTGCTGTGAGTTATGTAATTATTATTACAAAACAGATTTTCTCTTAAAAACTCACATGACAGAAAAACATATGTACAAGTATATATGTAGAAAATGTCCTGAAGTTAGTTTTGATAGGTAAGTAGCATTTATAATTCCATAAATAGTTTTTTAAGTACCAACATACTGTTTATATACTTTATAAATAGGAAAGATATGTATTTTTGTATATCTATACTAATATTATTAGGACGAAAACTTTGTTTGTTTGATTGTAACAAATAGGTCCAAAAACTACTAGGTCAATATTAAAAAATCCTTAAAAAAAAGGTAATTTATCCATGAGTAACATAGGCTATAGTTTTTCATTTCTTTATTATTTTTAAATTTCACGTGGACGGAGTCGCGGACAAAATTTAGTTACAAATAAGTTTAAAATCTACTAAAACTTAAATAATCAGAAATAAGTTAATTCCACCTCCAAAATTGTCATGTAGTCACTTAGGCTCCATTCAAATTTACAGGACTATGCTATTGATAACAAAAAATAGCTCCATTAATGGAGGAGATAAGCCGTAATACACAAAAAAAAATAAACAGATGAATTGAGTACCTCCTTTTCGGAAGTCGGTCGAAAATAGAAAGATCAACAATGAACAATAGTTATTATTAAATAACTATTTAGTATTTTGTTAATTTTCAGAACTTCAGCGAAGCAACATTTCATTTGGTCACATTTACAAAAGGGGGCATCTAAAGACTTTAATTGGTATGAAACTCGGCCTACTTGGTTGAGTAAGCGAGGTGTGAAGCAGCACAAGGGTGTGGTATCACTCCGTCCTGTTCGGAGGATATCAAAGTTACCAGATGATTTCTTAGTTTATTCTCCAGTGGGACATGAAGAGCAGTACCAAATAGTGGGAGCGAGACAGACTAGTATGAATTATTTGGAAGCAAAATTCAAATGCAATTTGTGTTACAAAGGTTTCCGGGAGATTGATACATATAATAAACACATGAAGAAACATAATCCAGTAAGTAGAAGATTTTTTTACTATATTTACTTTTTCAGCGAATTGCAAATGTCTATGGGCAGCGGTCGCTTCGCCATTTCGTTTGTTTTTGGTGGCCGCTTGCTGTTTGCCACCTTATAATATAAAAAAAAATAATTTGAGAATAGCTGATGCCTCCTGGCGAGACCCGTGTATGACAGTTATATAATACCTTAGCAATCTTGCTTCCTTGATGTTGGCAGCAACTTATGGTCTCTTTCCCACATTAGGGTTTTTATCCAAAATATTTACACCCTAAATTTAATGGCGTGAAAATATATAGCCTAAAGCGTGACGTAACTGTAGGGCTTTTTATTAAAAAAATAGTTATTTTAAAATATGCTCTAATTGCTAACATCGTAGGCAACAAAGAAGTGTATGTTAACACTTCATTATAATACTATAGATAACTACAAAGAGCCCAAAAACTATAATTACAGGTTATCTCGGGCCAGTTCCAATGTGACGTGTGCAAGCTTTACTTCAAGGATTTAAGGAAGATGTACAAACATATGATTATAACACATTTGTACAAATATTCTTGTCAAATGTGCGATTTTGTGTGCTATAACAAGTAAGTTTCACTTTTTATTAACATATTTCACCATTTGTGTGTATTAAAAAAAAAGTAAATAACCTATATCTTTTACCAGACTATCCTCTACATCTATATCAAATTTCATCAAGATCCGTTCAGCAGTTTAGGCTACAAATTATAACAAACATCCATCCATCCAAACTTTCGCATTTATAATAGTATGTTATACTTACATAACTTAGAAAAATTAACATTATAATATTGTTTTCACGGATCTTAAGGAAAATAGACTATAACTGAATTATAATAAACTAACTGTTCCCGTGCGACTTCATCTGCATGAAATTGTGAAACTTTTATTTTATTGTTTACATTTGTCAAATTATCAATTACAAATGTCAAAATGACATGACATGATGACAACCTTGCTTCCTTGATGTTGGCAACAACTTATGGTCTCTTTCCTACATTTAGGTTTTTATCCAAAATATTTACCCCCTAAGTTTGATGGCGTTAAAACATATAGCCTAAAGCATGACACAAGTGTAGGGCTTTTTATTAAATAAAAAATTATTCAAAAATATGCTGTAATTGCTGACATCTTAGGCAACAAAGAAGTGTATGTTTACGCTTTATTATAATAGTATAGATTTAGTTTTATTGTAACTTACAGGGGTCAAGCACATTTACATTACAAGTGGCATAAAAATGTCACCTACAAGTGTCAACACTGCGACAAAGTGTTCAAGTGAGTATGCCCTTTTTTAATTCCTTTCCTAATATCTTAATATTGAAAATATGAAAAAAAGACGTGAAACTGATATTATTCTTATACTAACTGCTGCGCGCGACTTCGTCCATGTGAAATAAAAAAAATAATAAGCATTGCATGTTATTAAATTGGCTATATGATAGTGAAAGGTTTTTAGAAATCGTCCTAGTAGTTTTTGAGTTATTTCAATACATACAAAAACAATGTTGTATACCTATAACTGGATTTATTATCATTCTTGTGTCTTATATCTTATTTCTTAAGTATAACTTATCTGTTGGCGTACTTTATTATTAAATAAATAAATAAATGAGGACAAATCTTTCCTCTTTATAATATAAGTATAGATTATAAAGAGGAAAGATTTGTATTTTTTATGTGTTGTAATAACTCAAAAAAGGGGCCGATTTCAAATATTCTTTCACCATTAAAAAGCTACGTTGTAATTAAGTAACATATGCTATATTTCACGCGGGCGAAGTCGACCAACAACTAGTAGTATAGATCTACTAAATTCAGTAAACAATGTGGTTTTTCTATAATAATGTTTATCATCATCACCACCTTCACTATATGTCCCCACAGATGGGCTCGGAGCCTACCCTAATAAGGGGTGACTAGGCCATAGTCAACCACGCTGGCCTACTGCGGGTTGACTTCACACATATCTTTGAATTTCTTCTCCGATATGTGCAGGTTGCATTACCATGTTTTCCTTTACTGTAAGAACGTCGGGTAAGTTATGTACATATGAAAAGTCGAAAATCACATTGATACAACGGGATTCGAACCCAAGACCGGTAGATTACAAGTCTAGTGTTCAAACCACTGAGCCACCGACGTCTGTTACCATATTTATTAGCATTTAGTATTGTTTTTTAGAAAATCATCAACACGCTTAACACATATAAGAATAAAACATCCATCGACCAACATCTGTGAGTTGTGTGGACACAGCTTTGTCAGCGAGACGGGATTGTATTGTCACAAGAGGATGGCCCACAGTAATGAGGTAAATTGCACACCCACTTCTTAATTCTACACTAAGGGTCCTCTTTAGTGTAGACTAGCTTTCGCTTCGACTCTATATGTGATCTTCCAGACTACATCTATGACAAATTCAATTAAGATCCGTTCAGCAGTTTAGGCTACAATCTCAACCATCCATCCATCTAAACTTTCGCATTTATGATATTACTAAGATTTACCATATTCTTTATTAACTTAAATTACAATGGCAATAGGCAATATGCATATGACGCCAAATTGTACCAAACTTTGTTTAAGTATACTTTATTACTATGAAAACATACCTGTAAAGATTTTTTTTAATATAATGATTTAGTGGCGAAAATTTATCATTAAAAAGTGTCTTTTTTCAAATTCCCTCGCTAAGTTCTAAAACGCACACTATTGGTCGAAGCAAGTGGCTTATCTAATATGGCGTCGCTGTGTTGTCAATACACAGTTCATTTACGTTAGTTTATATAGAAATACACTCTTGAAGTATTTTACGGTAAACACGATATCAAAACCAACATTAAAATAAAAAAAATAATGAATAGAATTATTAATTACCACTTATTTGTACCAGGAATAAAAAAAATTTTGACTTTTTGACCTTGAGAAGCAATGAGATACTTTGTTGTTTTTTTATATCGAAGTGACATCTGAGCGTATATTATGAATGGAATAAGACGATTGACGTCAACTGTCTCATGACAACTCCGGTCGCGTTTTAGTCGCACGAAAATGGTCGTAATCTTATTTATTATTTTTAGCTCAACTCAATATTTTCGCGTCAATTTTTTTTCTGTTTATTTTATAACAAGTTTAAAAAAGAAATAATACACGCATTCCCTATTTACATTATAATATTTCTTCGTTTTTTTTAAAGGAAATCAAAATGTTTACTAGAATAAAGTTCAAAATTTCCATAAGAGCGCTTATTATATAATTGTTTACCTCCTAGGAGGTGGAGGTGAGTGAGGATGTGAAGGTGGACGTGACGGACGCGCTGTACTGCGCCGAGTGCAACATCTGCTTCAAGAACCAGGAGGCCTACAACACGCACTTCGGCAGCTCCAAGAACCACTCTGCTACTAACTTGTAAGTATTTTAACTAACAAAAACTCGCATTTTCGCTCCAACAAAATACTGAAACGAATATAGTTATAAAGAGGATTTGTATTTTTGTATTGAAATAACTCAAAAACTACTGGGATTTTAATTCTTTCACCATTAAAAAAGACGTTATCGCTCAGTAATATCTTACTTATAATATTGGAAATGCGAATTTTTAGATGGATGGATGGATGTTTGTTACAGTTTGTAACCTAAACAGCTCAACGGATTTCGATGAAATTCGATATAGATGTAGAGGATAGTCTGGAAGAACACATAGGCTACTCACTTTTGCTTTTTTTAATTACACGTGGACGGAGTCGCGGGCGTAAGCTAGTAATGTTATAAAGAGAAAGATTTGTATTTTTTATATGTATTAAAATAACTCAAAAACTACTAGGATTTTAATTATTTCACCATTAAAAAGTTACTTTATCGCAGAGTAACAAAGGCTATATTTATAAATTTCACGTAAACGAAGTCGCGAGCGACAGCTTGTAATCTAATAAACTTAATTTTTATGGAATGTTTATTTTAAATGTCTTATTGTTCTAGACTCTGTTACATATTTATTTCTTGTATTTGTTTGATTTTTCAATTAATAAGTAATGTTATAGATTATTGATTTGTAAGTTTTTATCGAAACAACTAATAACATTTAAAAAAATGTTGATTTGATAAATTAAATGTCCAGTGTGTTCCTAACCCTTATTTAATCCAGGAAAAAACGAGCTTAAAACTAGATTTTATATGTATTACACAAATTTGAAAATTGTTAAAGTTGATTGTTATAATTAAATTGTATACATCTATTCAAATATCTTGCCTGCTCTACATCTCTAAGTCATACGATGTTCCGAGCTGTCAGAATATTTGAAAACGTCTATACATAACCTTTATTTATTAATGTTTTACCTCGTTTTAGATCTGTTAACAATCACACGAGAGAGACAAGGAAACGTCGTGTGACGCGACGTGATGCCTCTCTAATTATCAACAACGGCCTGCCTACCGTCACCAGTTGTGAAGTCGTGAGTATATACATATCACTGAACTTATTGAGGCAAAAAGTCTATTTCAACTAAACGGCTGTACGGATCTCCATGAAATTTGGCACAGGTTTAGAGCATAGTCTGGAAGAACACATATGCTACTTTTTATCCCGGGAACAGTTACGGTTCTCGTGGGATTCATCAATTTAGTTTTTTAATGTTTAATCGATCATTCTGCAACGGTTCAACATATCTTATTGAAATTTGGCACAGATATAAAACAAAGTCTGGAGTACACATGGGATAAGGTTCATCCCCGAGAAATGTCCCGAGGGATACGTAGCTTTTTATTATTTATATAGTTCGTTCCTTTCTAATAAAACGCGGACGAAGTCGTGGGCAACAGTTAGTAAATAAATAAAAATGTGCGTATCATTGTGTGATGTATGTATGTATGTATGTCGGCGCAGTGCGGCGACAGTCTACAGAACGACGTGGTAGCGCGCAAGCACTACGAGGCGCAGCACCCCGGCGTCGACTACCTCAAGCGCTACATGTGCGACGTCTGCGGACACAAGACCAGGGTAAATATCTATATCTACACTAATATATAGAGAACACGTTGTTTAGTTCATTTTATAATAAAAGATGGAGATTAGTATAATTTTGTAAAATGTTTTATAACGTCAGTACAAACGCCAATAGCTCAATTTTATTATATATGGATTACCAAACTTGCGGTCGAGGGTTCGAATCCAGCCATTCTACTATTGTGAACCATATCCTAGCAAAAGCCTAGATCTTAGTTGGAATGGTTAAATTAATTATTAGTAAATGATAAAAAATCAACTATCATTTAAAAAAAAACTTGACAACAAACATAGTACCTTTCAAAGAAGTTACAGGTGAAAAAAAACTTTGTTCTCTATGTCTAATATGTATATAAAATGTGTATGTTCGTACAGCAATACGCGAACCTGATGGTGCACATGCGAGTGCATACGAACGAGAAGCCCTACCAGTGCCCGCACTGCGACCGCCGCTTCAGCATGCCCAGCAACAGGGACAGGCATATCGTGGTGAGAATACACACATCCATCCATACATACATACAAACATACATACATACATAAATTCATTTACTTAACAATAAACTTACAAAGATATTTACCCAGGGTAAATAAACTTACAAAGACATTGACCCAGGGTCCTAGTACTTGGCACAGCCTGTATCGCGAAGACCCAGCTCAGCGGATTCATTAAAATATACTTTATTAGACGGCAACATATTCATAATTAAAATATAAACAAAGTTTAAAAGGGAGTAAAATAGACATACATACATTCATAGTAACGAAATAACTCCTTGAATTTCTTAAACCTCCCTTATTGTAGCTATGTCTATATTGTACAATTATTATTACTTTGAAGTTTAGACTACAAACTCTTAACAAACATCCATCTAAACTTTCGATCACCGATTTAATTCGGATTATTCCCAATTGTCACCTCACTCTATCCCCGCGTGGGATCAGATGACAACAAAAAGTTTCATCTGTCCCACCGTTTGCGACTGATGGACGGTTAGAACTTATTTTATTTCTTAATGCTTCCATCTGTCACATTGGTGATAGTGGGATTAAAAGGTGGGACGGATGAAACTTTATTCTCATCTGTTTCCACGTGGGGACAGCGGGGTGACGGTTGGGAATAATCCATTAATGCACTAATATTCTAACAAATAACTTTAAAATGCATATAATATTGTATATCAGGTGCACACCGGTGAGAAACGCTACCAGTGCCAGTTGTGCAGCCGCCGCTTCACTCAGAGCAGCGCCGTCAAACTGCACATACAGACCGTCCACCTCAAGATACCGTATGCACCCTGGGACAAGAAGAACAGGTACCTCAAATATTCACATTCAGGGTCTCCAAGTAAACCCTGAGCTGGGACTAGTCTAGACCTTAGTCTGCATCGTAACTTCCTACAAAGAATAGAAATACTAGCTGTTCCCGTGCGGCTTCATTCGTGGAATTATAAAAACTTTATTTTATTGTTTACATTTGTCAAACGCTCAATTGCAAATGTCAAAATTTAAATTAGGTTTAATTACGTGAAAATATATAGCCTAAAGCGTGTCGTAAGTGTAGGGGTTTTTATTAAAAAATACTGTGATTGGTAACATCCTACACCATTAAGTAGTGTGTTTGCGGTTAATATATTAGTACTAGCTTCCGCCCGCGACTCCGTCCGCGTGGTATTAATAAAAACAAAATAAAGTAGACTATGTGTTCTTACAGATTATCCTCTACATCTATGCCATATTTGATCCAGATCCGTTTATCCTTTTAGGCTACTAACATACCTCTAACAAACATCCATCCATCCAAACTTTCACATTTATAATATTAGTAAGAAGTAAGATATACAATGTAACAGGAAGCGGCGGCGCGAGGTGGAGGCTCCGCTGGCGATGGCGCCG